ATACCTCCTATGAGTAAATATATCAACAACCTCATAAAAATAACAAATACATTGTTCCGTACCTTTTGCCAAGAAAACTAATCTAAGATCCTGAAAAAGTAGTTCTAATGTTTACTTTAATTAAACATTCACACAAACTTATGAATCATAAGATGTAGGACTTATTTTTAGTTTCTCTTCTGGGGTGCGGGTATTCTAAAAAATTCCAATAAAGCAAATTAAGTTAAGAAGACAAGAGATGAGAAACAATGTTACCTGGATAATTACTCTCTCCATGCAGTAGGTTTCCTTAGAGACCTTGCTCAGGCTATCATCTGCATCAGCTTCACTTAATCCTCACTTAAGAGAGAAATGGCCACAGGGTGAGGGTCTGGGCACTACCGAATGTCCTAACCAACCCTCAACTGAACAAGAAATTTACATCACACTTTCACACAATGATCATCATAATGTGGCTCTTTTCTTTATAATTGGTTTAAAACATGGAATAAAAAATACTAACACTGAAAAGGAACACATAAACAAATTAGAAGTACAGAGTAACAATGAGCTAGTCCAAAACAGAAGATCTCAAAATGATGTTGTATAAAATAATACTGTGTGGGAATCTATTGGAATGCATTTTAATTCATTTAAAAACACTTACATAATTTTGTGGATTAGGCAGTAGATATTAGATATTTTATGCTTAATAAATAGATCCTGATATTGTCTTGAACTCTCTTATCACCTTAATTTATTCGTCCAATCAAACATTAAGTGCCATAGATTCTAACCTGGTTAGAGCCTCTTGAATCATTTTCTTCATTCAAATCATTATCTTTTTTATAGCCTAAACTATTATCTTTTCTGTCCTGGATGACTTCAGTAGCCTGTTCATTCTTGTCCTCCAACCCATACCACACTTACTACTGCAGCCAGAATGTCTTCTTTGTTTTCCTAGGACAAGGGAAATGAACTGGAATGTGGTATTTCAGGCTGACCACGAATTGATCTCAGAAACCTTGCCTGCCTTTCCTTTTATCAACCTCTTCATCACTCAGAAAATTTCTTCCAGACTGCACCTTTCTTTGCCTCAAAGGTCCAGGGAGTTTTTCCAACTCCAAGAGAAATGGTGTTGGAATACCTTCTCCTTTCTTGATTCCTTTGAGTAACATCTTTGAGTAAGATCACTCCTTTAACAGAAGCGCCCCCCCCCTCCCAATAGCTGGGCATAGGTACTACCATGGCCCTAACGTCTAAGGGCTTCCTTCATTCCCATCATTGTTCCCACCAGTATGGTTACTTATTCCATGTCCCAATTTTAGGTAAGACTGCAAACTCCAAAAAGATGATGGAACATTTTCAGCCTTGCCCTGGTCTTGTCCCAGAATCTATCACAATTCCCTGGGCATAGTTGGGCTTCAAGATCTACTTGTGAATACATTAATGAAGGAGTAGAAACAACGCACTGTCTTTGTAGAGCTACACATCTGCTACATGCAGTTTGCTTGCTCAATGGCTCATCCTTTCCTTCCTCATTCATATATTTTTGCAGTTCTGTTAAAAAGGCAGTCTCTGTGGTTTCAAGCAGCCAATGACATAGACAGAACAGACATATTAAAACAAAATAGAACAAAATAAACCAAAAACTCACATAAGTCGCAGAGAGGTAAAATAATGGTTTTTATATGCATGTGGGACAGAAACCTCTACTTCGGGCTTTCAAATGCAATTTTTCAGAGAAGAAGGGATATTTTTAGTTAAATAAAGCAAATTTGTAGATATTTTTCTAGGCAAAGGGCTTAGAGGAAGGGGGAAACACTATGCAAGATGAACAACTTGCACAGGTAAATATAACCAAGATAGGGGAACCGATGCTCTCAGAACTGCAAGCTACTGCGTAGGAGAGGAGAGAGCTTTGATGTTACACACTGCTTTACAACGAAGACCATGTGCAAACAGCTTTGCTGTTGTTGCTGTTTTCTCTCCAGGAAGGAAAATAGAAGTGAGATCATTGACTTTGGCATCAAGGCCACTGTGGGAAGTCAGGCCCAGAGCATTTCCTGCATCTTTACGCAGCGATCCTGTTAAGTCTGGGTTCATCATGAATGTGCTTACTCTAGTTCCCCAATTAACCTTCCCACCACACACTCCCTTCTACACTTTCATGTTTTCAATCAATTCTTTTTCATTTTTTATTTTGTTTCTTTGTATCAATATCCTCAGGATTCTAAAACTAGTTGAAATCTCATTGTAAGACTCCAAACTGGGACATAGGATGAAAAAGAAAGAAAAAAATCATTCATGGAGCAGGTTCTGTAGCTTTTGAACTGGAAAATAAATTGCTTTCAGTGGGATCAGATTGATGGTAGGCAGTAATTAAATGGAAACATTATTTCATGCAATACAACACTAGTTATTCTATATTTCTATTCACAAAACCTGGGAATTTCATCATTTTAATATTTTTTTGAAATACTATTCTCATTTGTCTAAAATAGACAATGACAAGCAGAAAATATATCAACATAGTATGTCAATTATACCATCACTCAGAGGTTCTCTGCTAATAGAGTTAGAAGACATTATTCACATACCCATAAGCTCTCTTCAAATATACAAGCACAAAACAAAACTATTGAAAGTTTTCTTACCTTCTCTCACTGTCTACCTACGTTTCTATCATGAGAGGGACACTTGGTTTCAATTTCTTACATCAATTTAAAAAAACAAATAAGGGCCAGTCAAATAGCTCAGTGGATTAAAGCACCTGCAAGCAGGTGCAGGGGTCAGTGGTTCGATCTCTGGGCCTGCCAGGCCCTTCCTGCCCCCGGGACACACTGAGCTGGCAATTGAGACTGGGCAAGGTGGTGCGCGCCTGTAACCCCAGCTCTTACGAGACTGTAAAAGGGCGGATCACTATGAGTCCAATCTAGTAGTGAGACCTTGTACATCCTGTAGATCCTTTCCTAAAATAAAAAAAAGAAAAGAATAAATAAAAATAAGTTTATCATATTTTCAGATACTTTGAAAAGGCAGAGCATACGCGAAAAGTCCATGTGGTCTCAATTTCGGTGGTGCATAGGTTACTACACACACTTACTATTTATCTAATCTCCCCCCTCCATGCGCTTCCTTGTTTCCAGGCTTTGCTCTTACAGGCAATATTGCAGTGAATATCATTTTATAAATGTCTTTCAAGAGAGCACAGGAATGCAGACCTCACTGCCATGAAGTATGCTGTCGAGAGTCCCACATTTGGAGGAATCACAGCAGTCAGCACAGCCAGCGTGCAATGGACAAGCCTCACCCTGGGAAGACTGCTTATGTCGTCATGGTTTCTCCCCTGCCAGGAAAGTATCTTTACAAAAATTTTTGCCTTTCTGTAGCATTATAGCTGCGGAATCAATTTCCAATTATGCCTAAAGTTAGGACCGTTGAATCTACGTGAAAGTGAGTTAATGTTTAGATCTGTGTTGTCCAATTGGTCACCCAGAAAAGACTACACTAATTTGTACCCAACCATACACTGTATAGGAGTGTTTGGTTCCCTGTGTCGTTGGCAACACAAGGCATTAGCAGCCTGGGATGTTGGAAGTCTTATGGGTAAAATTGATTTACATTGTTGTTTTCATTTGCATATATTTACTCAAGTACACAAAACTAATCAAACATCCAAAATCAAAAGCTCAGCTGAGTAACTTTTGTATTAAAATTGTCTTAAGATGTATTTATTTTCTTTCCATTTGTTTCTTTTTTGCAGTACCAGGATTGAACTCTGGATTTTGCACTTCGCAGGCAAGTGCTTATTATTCTACTGAGCTATCTCCCCAGCCCTTGAGATTTATTTCTGAACATGGAAAGCACAGAGATATTTTGGGTTTCATTCTTGTGCTGTGTCCCCAAGTTCAAAGCATATGTTAGTGAGCTTCTCAAGGGAAAATATATGCTATCAATGGTATTGATGTAATTTTGGTTATGAAATGTTTTGGGTTGTAGGATATATAATTTGCGTTACGGAATATTTAAATTTTATTCTCATTTGTGTATTTTATGTAGGTATAAAAAATCCATGATTTGTATTTATGATAAAATTTAACATTTTCATTTAAAATATATTTTAAAAATGTTTTCAGTCTGTGTATGAGTGATTGAACTTTGGTACCTACTAGGTGAATTTACGTCTAATTTTTATAATAAAACATGTCATAAGCAAAATGTAAGATTATTTATTCCATTCTACTACTTGTACAAAGCAGAGGAGGCCAGCAAGATAGCTCAGCAGACTAAAGCGCCTGCTTAGGTAAGCTTAGGCAAGCACAGGGACCATGGTTTGATCCCAGGCACCACATAGTGCACCAGCCCCACTCCCAGGGAAGGCTGAGCCAGCCACAAAAAACAGAAAAAGGAAGGATGTGAGCTACAATTATAATTAGCAAATGTAAAGTGAACATATGCCCAAATTACATAGATACTATCCAGAGCCGTTTACTGAGAGAATAAAAATATTTATTTTTAGTTATTTAAAGCATCTCAGAAATCATATTTTACACATACACACACACACACACACACACAAATGAAATATGAAACAGATGAGAACTTAAACAATATGGCCACAACACCATTATCATTCATTCCGCTTAGCTGTCTGAAAATTAGAGATGATAATACTCAAAAATGATACATTTTGTATACTATAGTACTGAGTAATCTGAAGCCTTTCACTGAGCCATTTTTAATGTTGCATTTTTATTTATTTATTTATTTTTTTTGAGACAGTGTCTTGCTCAATTGCTAAACTACCAGGCTGGGCTTGGGCTGGTGACCCTTCTGCGTCAGTGTCGTACAGTGCTGGATTTCTAGGCTTGTGTCACCACACAGCCCCATGTCTGTATCTTAATCTTGTTTCAGGAGACTTAAGCATGACAAATAATGCTATAAGGTTCGCCTAAGAATTTATTTGCAAAAACTGGGATGCTTTTTAAAAAACGGAACATTGAAATGTTTATTTATAATAGAAGAAAGCATTAGGGTTGAACAGCAAGAGGAAGTGAAAGAGATAAGGTGTAATACAGACAGAGAGATGAGCTAATACAGGCCTACATACCTCAGTCATTATCCTAAGTGTACTGTGAAAGTCGCTAAGTGTAGGTTGGAAATTTGAAAGAGTTGTTGAAATCATCAGATTTTCTGTTGTTTTATACATTACATTCTTATATGACACACTAAGCCTATGTAACCCAGATACTTGGACAAACAGGTTGAGAAACACTTTAGTTGCAAATGACCATTTTTTGCTAAGTAAATTAAAAACCTGATAATGCCTGTGTTGGTCAAGTTACTGAATGGAATGCCTGGATATCCAGCATAGAACATCTAAGAGCGACTTCTCAGGGAAAAGGAAAATCTTTAGATTTTGTAAGTTTATTGTAAAATTCCTTAATGCAGTAGAACATGAACCATGCTGTAAACAAAATAGAGGGGTTAATAAAATAAAAATTGCACTTTTGGGGAATAAAAATGGGAGAGCTAAAAACACAGGAGAACTTTAATTATATGGCTCTGATATTTTAGTAAATGCTGGTCTGAGCAAGTTCTGTTGCCTTCATAAGGAAGTAAAAATGTGCTAATAAAATTATAATTATACATATTCTTATGTGTCTACTCATGCATGTATACAAGTGTCTACCAATCCATCTACTATAAAGGATTCTTATAAAACTTCACAGGGTGTATTTAGTCAAAATTCTGCAGTTATAGACTCATGCTGGATAGTGACCTTTTTTTATCTATGTGCCTTTTGGATGATTGTCCCCCAGTTGTGGCAGCTTATCAAAGTTCTCCTTTCAGCTGCATACTCTTCCTAAAGGAAAAAAAATCACAATTCCAATTCTTTTTAAAAAGTGTTATTATTGTGTTACTATTACTATTGTTTTGAGACTGGGTCTTGATGTGTATTTTGGGCTGCTCTTGAACTCACTGTGGAGCCCAGGCTGGCCCCAAGCTCACCGTGGTCCTCTGGCTTCCTTCTCCCAAGTTCTGGGATTACAGGCACGCAGCACCACACGCAGTAGGCTTTGGCACTCTTAGCACACTGGCATCCCGTTTCTTATTTCAAATCTATGAATCAAATTAGTATTTATTATTGGCCACATTGAAAGTGGCAATTATTCCACAGGATATGAGTCAAGCTTTCGATTGTTCGATGAACACTTCCAACAAATCCCTAGTCACTCTTAATTTCTGCCTTCAATACTTATAAAAATATAATAGCTCCATAATTTCAAATTTAAAAGGCAATTTGTCAATGCTAGCTAAGACTCATTAACACCATATATATACCTGGGTATTGATACGTACAAGAATATTCTGAAATTACACATGATTTCATTTTGAGTACGTTTTCTTCCTCCTTTTGTGTTTTCATGTTAACGTCATTGGTACAATCTAGATATACATTATTAGATATACACATTCATCATAGGGAATTGGCATCTGTACAGAGCATATCTTGATTACCTTTTGTTTTCCCTTCCCTTCCCTTCCCTTCAAATCCTTTTACCTTCTTCATATACCCATTTTTTTTTCATTTTATCCTCCTTTTCTCATTTTTTCTCCATTTACATCCTCTTCCTCATTCCTCTTTCTTTTGAACAATTTCTTCCTATTTTCACAACACCTATTAAACATTTTGATTCTTATTTTTCACATCATGGAAACAATACAGTACTTATGCATGTGTGTCCAGTTTGTTCCATTTAACAGTACAGTCTCAAGGTCCATCTATTTAGCTAGAAATATCTCAAATTTATTCTTTATGGCTTAGTAGCACCCCACTCTAAAAAAAACAATCTTTTTATCTATTTATTTGTTGATGGGCAATTAGGTTATTTCCAAGATTCCACTTTAACAGACTGTATAGCTGTAAACATGGGTGCACTATATTGCTTTAGTGTGGTGATTTTAATTCTTCTGGGAAGATACTAAGCAGAAGAATAGCTGGGGCAAATGTAACCGCTAGTCCTAATGTTTTGAGGCATCTCCATACTGATTTCCACAGTGGTCACACCAGTCTACATTCTCACCAACAGTGGAGAAGCGTTCCTTTTCCCCCAATCCCCCACGGAATGCACTGTGGTTGATTTCTTAACAGTAGCATTCTTTCTGGAGAGAGATGCAATCTCAGAATTGTTCTAAATCGCATCTCTCAAATGACCAGTGATGTTGACCATGTTTCATATATTTATTTGCCATTTCTACTTCTTCATCTGAGAAGGGTCTATTTATTGCAGATAAATTTTGATGGGGATTTCATTAAATCTGTATAACAGTTTTGGAAGTATGGCCATTCTTACTGCATTGGTTCTTCTGAACAAGAACAAGGGATTCCTTTCCATTTTCTGATATCCTCTTCAATCTGCTTTTTCAGAGTACTGTACTTTTAAATGTAGACCTATTTCCTTTGTTAGATTGATTCCAAAGTATTTCATTTTCTTCAGTGCCATCATGAGAGGCATCATTTTCCTAATTTCTCTTCGAGAGAGTTTTTTTTTTTGTAAGAATGCTATTGATTTTTGAGTGTTGCCTTTGTATCCAGCTATACGACTGAATGTGGTTATTAAATCTAAAAGTCTTTTCATAGAGTTTTTGAGCTCTTCTATGTAGAGCACCATATTAGCTACAAATAATTATAATTTGACTTCTTTACTTCTGTCTTTATTACCTTTATGTATTTCTCTTGTCTAATTGCTCTGTCTAGTGTTTCTAGAACTATATTCAGTATAACAATGATAGTGCTCCATGCACAAAACTGCAGTCAAAATGGATCAAAGTTCTAAATATTAAAACTGAAACACTAAATCCTCTGGAGGAGAAAGTAGGTAGAAATCTTAAGGACATGGGGTAGGTAAGGAATTCATGAACAAAAATGAAACTGCATGGGAAATATTTCAAAGAATCAACAAATGAAATCTTTTTTTTTCTTTTCTGTATTTAGGGCAGGGTCTACAGGGTGTTCAGGGTCTCAGTATGTAGATCAGACTCAGTGATTTTCCTGTTTACAGCCTCCAAAGTGCTGGGATTATAGGCATGTGCCACCACACCCTGTCTCCATTGCTGGCTCAGTGGCCCCCAGGGGCAGGAGCCGCACAGCAGGCCAGGGGTCGAACCTGGCCACTGAACTCTGCCTAAACAGGTGCTTTAGTCCATTGAGCGATCAGGCTGGCCCTGATCTCAGCTTTTTGAAAAGTTTCTGCATGTGGTAATCATCAACAGAGTAATAAGAAATCACATGAACTGGGGAAAAAATTACAGTGGATTATCCTTCAGACAAAAGACTCCTATTTAGATTGTATATTT